CAGTAATGTGATGGATCCTTGCTGTATTTATTATGATAAAAATTTTAAAGTCAATATTAATTAAGTAAAAACGAGTAGGTTGCGAAATTGATAAAAACTTCGATTTTGTGACGCGTCTCACGCAATTTCATGGATTTTTTTATATTTTTACATTTATTGAAAGATTGAGACAAAATTTTTTCGTTTATTTATAATTTATGTACCGAGGAAGAGAAAGTTTGTGGATGGACTGTAGCCTCCTATCCGAAATATTTCAATAAGATCGTAGAACTGGCTACATGTACCGGCAGTCAAAAATTGTCATGCAATATGTTATAATTTATCTAGCATCCCAGAGTACGGGACAAATAAGCATGAAAAGGCGAGAATCTAAACAAATTCCCACATACCCATGTATATCACCAACGACCGTGACAGGAGCCAAAATATGTACAACATTGCTTTCTCGCATTAGTAGTTCTTTCGTCTTCTCACATATTTCTTTAATTAAAGATTCGGCGAGGAGTTGCTTCTGCAAGAGTTGTTCTATACACGCATCCAGATCAAGTGGCATTTTTGTCTTAAATGAGCGAGATTCAACTTCTATGTTGGCAGAAAATCGCATTTTTTATCCGTGTCAAAATCACGTGAAATAAAACCTGATCCGGAAAATTTATCGGAAAGAATATTATACCTCAAATTAATTTTTCTGTTTAAATATTTGTCTTCACATTTCTAACATGTGCATAACAATTAATTTCTCTCTCATTATGATTGTGAAGAAGAATGAGAATTTATTTATATATTAATTAACAAAAGCTGAATGAGAAGATAATTCATGATTAATATTCTCTTTCTCATATTAATAAACTACTTGACAAATTCAAAAATGGCAAAATACTTCATCATTGTTAAAATAGAAGATTGATATAAAATTATACATAATTAAATCATTAGGTATCACATTTTATTTGAGTTTCATGATATATCTATTGTAGGACATATTGGAATAAATAAGATATATACTACTATATCTTAATAATTCTACTAATCAAAAATAAATAAAAGTATTCACAAATATATTACCAGTTATGAATCTTATTAGTGCAATAAAAATAGTAATTAACAACCCTCAGGATTACTTCAATCACTCATCATTCTAGAATATAGATAGGAATAAGTTATTATGAACTTTAGAATTCAATTATTTATTATCAAGTTTGGATTTGATATAATAATTATTTTTGTTAACAAGTTATTAAAAAGAATATACTTTGTATTAACTACTACAATAGTAATAATATCTGATATCACAAAAATATTTTTTGAGAATATCTTTAAATTATATAATCTATTATTAGTAATTATTTCAGATAAAGATATTAAGTTTATTAGTAGATTTTGAAAATTACTTTTTAAATAACTTGAAATAAAATTAGCAATATTAGTAATTGTAAGATTATTTTGTTAATGATTATAAATAAGATAAAATACAATATGAACAGTTTCAATTTATAACTTATAATTTTTATTATTTAAAGAATATTCAAATCTAAAATTATTTTACAAAATAGATAGTACTTATTTATAGTAAAAAGAAATAAATATAAAATATGAATAAATTAATAATAATTCTATTTTAAAATATATATATATTAAATATAACTAATTAGCTTAATTCATGTCTTTAGAGAGTAACTAATTATAATTTAATAATTAATAATAATATAAATAATAATATAAATATAACAATAAAAAGAATAAATAAAATTATAAAAGAAAATTAAAAAGAAATCTAATTAAAAATATTAATTATCTAAATTAATAATATAAATATATATAGTAATTATCTGTATAATAATATGTTAAATCTAATATATTAAATTATATAAATAATCATTTGTATATTCAGAATAAAATTGATCTTTATAAAAAGTGATATAAAAGCTAATCTATTATATAGATAATACAAAATAAAAATTTGAGCTAAAAAGAGATAACTCAATCAAAATTATTATATATCTTTTTACTTAAAGTATAATATTCTTATTATATTTAAGTACATGATTTTCAAAAATATTAATCTTTTTTATAATACTTTTCAAGTTTTTAAAAGATTCTTATATTGTATTATAAAGAAAATAACTAAGCTAACAAGATATTGAAATTTATAATAATAAATTCTTTTATTAAGAATATTCTTAACTTTATATTTTTCTTTATTATTTAAAATAATGATAGCTAATAATAATTGATATCTATTATACTTATCATCTAAGTTATATTTCTTTAATAATATATAAAATACTAGATATAATTTTATATTATATAATAGTTATAGTTTGTAAATGACAGAAGATATTTTGATAATAATTTTAAAGAGTTCTATAAATTTTAATATAAGTTTCTTAATTATTCTTTACTTATTAACTGAAGTATTTATATTACAAGTAAAGAGAAGAACTTTATTATTAATATTGAATTTTTTATATCTTCTATATTAATTTATATATTTACTTTATCTTTTTTATACTTTAAGTAATAAATTTTTGATAGTTTTAATTATGATATTTTAATATTTCATGAAATTATGAAAGATTATAATATTATTTTATAATGATAGAATATTGATTAATATATAAGATATCTGTTTATAATCTAATTTAAATAATATATAACTAGTTAAAGTAATTTTATTATTATTATAAGCAAATTTTATAATAACTAGATTTTTATTCTATCTATTTTACTGATAAATAGTATAAATTCTAAGTATCTCTTTAAGAATTTTATTCAATTTCTCTATCTAACTATCTATTTGAGAGTAAAATACTATTGATATTGCTAATTTTATTTCAAGTTATTCAAAAAGTAACTTTTAGAAATAACTTATGAATTTAATATCTCTGTTTAATATTATAACTATAAATAAGTTATATAATTTAAAAATATTTTAAAAAAAATCTTTATAATATTAAATATAATTATTATTATTATAGTTAATATAAAATATATTTTTTTTGATAGTTTATCTATAAATATAACTATAATATCATATTTAAACTTGATAATTAGAAGTTATACTATAAAATTTATAGTAATATATTTCTATTTCTTTTCTAAAATAGCAAGAGATTAAAGTAATTCTAAGAGTTATTAATTATTATTTTTATTATACTAATAAGATTCATAACTAATAATATATTTATAAATATTTTTATTCATCTTTAACTAATAAAATTATTAAAATATAGCTATATATATCTTATCTATTCTAATATATTCTGCTATTGATATATTATAGAATTCAAATAATATTTTTATTTTTAATAGTTTATTATTAAATATAGTAGTTTATAGTTTCCTGAAAACTATAAACTACTTAATTTATACTATAATATACTCAGGTATGATGTATGAATCACAGAATTCAAGTCATTTGAGTGATTGATAGAACATAAATTTTAAGTTACTTAACTGATAATATATTCCTAGATGTGATGTATAGATTACAAATTTCAAGTTACTTGACTGATAATATATCTCTAGGTATAATGTGTAGATTGCAAATTTCAAGTTATTATTGATCTGATATGAGGACTATGCTCAAATCTGACACGTAATACCATAATTAATGTGGCTGATTTCATAATATTGGTCACATGTGAGCTGAGTGATAAAAAAAATATATTTGATAATGCATTAGATTATATGTTATCATTTATGAACCTAATGTGAGAGCTATATCCAAATCTGGCATGTAGTACCTTAGCTTTTTGATTAATTCCTCTATGAGGGCCAGAGTTAAGATATCTAGTACCAAAATAGTAATCATGTTATTTATATAATTCACCCAAATATCATCCAAGAATGAGATATATAGTGCTGAATTACTATCATTTATTTTATGTTCATCCAAAGCATAATTTTTTATAATATATATCTGTAATAATTTTATCTTGACTAGATACCAATTTTCTTTAAATTATATCTGATAATGCATTCAATTTTATATTCATCCAAAGCATAATTTTTTATAATATATATCTGTAATAATTATATCTTGATCGGATACTAATTTTTTCTTCAAATTATGTAGTTAAAATAGTATACTTTGTATTTAACCACCCTTTCTATAATAATTATATCTTGACTAGATACTGATTTTCTTTGAATTATATTACTAAAATCATATTTACTTAATATCTGTTCAAAGTATAATCACCCTTTTTATAATAATTATACCTTGATCAAATACTAATTTTTTGTCAAAATTATACCTATTTGATATCTGTTCAAAGTATAATTTTATAATATTAGTAATTATCAAAAACAGTTATATAGTGGCTATATCTTGACTAAATACCAATTTTTTTTGAATATATACATATTATTTACTGAAAAGTACATCTTGATCAAAATTTCACGGTATAAAAATAGTTATCAATTAAATTATCTTATCTATATATCTCTAGCACTTATGTGAAATTTTACTTAGCAAATATGTGAATTAAGCAAGAGATTCATTCACTAGAATTCAAAAACTCTCTTTATATGATCTAGATATCAAAATATTAATTTTTGATTTGAATTTTTTCCCATACTTATAATAAGAGTCAACAAAAATCCCCTTATCCGAATATATAACTAGTCAAATATAATAATTTCTCTTTTTCAGAAATTACTATTTAACTAGATAATATTATCTTAATATCTTATACCTGCTTTATTGAAAGATTTATAATAATTATCCATATTCAATGAGAGCTAAAGATTTATTTTTCAGCTTTTTTTTATATGATATAGTGGAAACTTTCACTTTAGTCTCATAATTTTGCTTATATTCCAAAAAATCAGTCTCACTCATACTCTTATGCTCTTTTTTCCAGTAATTCTAATTATCTCACATTTTAAAAGTAATCTTGATTCTCCATTATTCTAACTTTTCTTTTAATATTTAGAATTTTTGCTATAAAAGAAGAATAAGAGTTTCTATATCAGATTCATTTCTAATAAGGAATTCTGAAAACAGAGAAATTAAGAATTCAGGTAACTCTTTTTTAACTTTAGTAATACTTAAGAATTACTCAGAATTATTTGATTGATCTTGAATCAATACTATAGAGGATAATTATGATAAATTTGTTACAGATTTTTTAACTATGTTATCATAAGAACTCTTTTCACAAATCTTATTACTGGATTTTAAAATGACTATATCAATAATAATAGCAGAGCTAGTATCAAGATACATAGGTATTAAATTGAAAAGTTCTTGAGTTTTATTAATTAATTCTGACTTATACAGTAGAAGAATTAGATTTGTAAAATGATAATTAGAAGTATTCAACTTTATAATTATTATTCTTTCTATAATTTCAAAATCAGCTCCATTATCTGGCACATGATAAATTCAGTAAGTTTTCTTTCTTACTTGATTAGTTTTTGAATCTATATAAGTTTTTCTATTCTTGATGATATAACTATACTAATTACTCAGTATTACATTAATAAACTTTATTATAGCATTGAGATTAGATAATCCTTTAGCTCTGGTCTTAAATCCAAAAAGTAATAAAATATCTTCTCGAATTTTAATGATTTTCTCTAGTAATTATTTGAAAGCTTTTGTCATATCATTATCAAAAAGAATATTTATATCATTAATATTACTGAATCCTATTGATTGAAAAAGATTGCATATTACCTCCTATTATTTTGCCAAATAAAATTTATGTAAATCATTTGAGACTGGATCCATAGAATCTTGTAATTCTTCCTATTGCAATATTTTTTTAATTTTCAGATTTTCCAAAGCCTTTACTTCATTAGAATCTTGTCTTCTGAAATATGCCAGTCTTCTAAAATATTGTAAAGATTCAGGATTATTATATATTTTTACAAAATCTTTATCATAAAGTTTGATCTAATCATCATTATTCATATCCCAGTTTTGAATATCATCCTTATCATCAATATCACCTGAAGTATATATTTTCCACAAATAATATTATTGCAGAGTCATGTTATTAGCAAAAGAATATTCAGGATTTAACTTAAGAATTTCAGCTTCATAGAGGATGATATCAGGTGTATTGACTATTGCTTCTGTATCAAAGCCTTTGATTTTTTTCTCAATCTTCTTAATAGTATTGGAAACTTCTTTTCTAGCAATTTTGATATCTTTTGCTAAAATTAACTTGAGTATTACTCCAGTACTAGTAATGAGATTGCAAAGAATTTCAGAAAAGTATTTAGCTGATAAGTGTCTCTAATATTCAATCTCAATATAAGTCTCTACAGCTAGAAATAAATCAAGTATATAACAGTCATTAATTTTATTCTATTCACAATATTCTTTTATAGCAGTTGGCAAGTTATCAGATCTTAAAGTAAAAAGTTTGATACAAATAAGATCATAATTTGGTTTTTTAAAAATACTAGGCTTTTTACTATTATAAAAAGAAATAATATGATATGGGTAATCATGAACTTAATAAAATATTTATGTAAAAGTTTCAGTATGTACTCCTATAGCAATATTACTAATTTCTATAACTGCATCAAAATGATTAGAAATTTTAAAAGAGATATCAGCTTCTACAGTACTTATATAAATCATATAATCAAGACCATTCTAAGTAGCATTGATATTAGCAAAGTCATCCTGCTATTACTTTCTATCTATTTGATCAAAATAAACTCATGATAAAACATGTAAGTTATCTGGTTTTTGCAATTTAGAAGCTTGGTTTACCAAAGCTTATACTTTTTTGCATGAGATTATTGAAAAAGTAACTTATTTATCTTTCTGAAGTATCTTAAGATCTCTACATATAGCTTCTGATCCTTTATCTGAATCATAAAGAATTTTAACAATCTTACCTTTATGTGGCTTATATTTATTATCAAAAATTCTTATATCTCTACCTTAATATTATTTCAAAAAGTTTAAAATTGATTTATTTGCAAATATATTTATAGAAATAATATGAATAGCTAATTTTATCAGATTCTGCATAGTATTTTCAGATTCACATGCATGAATTTCACTAGATATTTAATGTATGATAGTATTATTTTCATCTAAGATAACTACGTAAGAATGCCTTTTATAGAAATTAAGATAATAAGTATTTTCAACTTGGATAATGATAACATTCCAGTTATGTGTAACTAGGTTGCTCTTATTTTTCTGATAATAGTATATATGAAGTCCTGAATTTTGCAATATTTCAACTTTAGTTTTAGTCTTATTGTTAAGAGTTTTATAATATGAAATCCAGTTAAAACAAGACAATTTTGCTCCGCTTTTGGCTGAGGAATTGAGAATTTCTCTTAATATTTTTATTTTGTTACTAGTAATAGGTAAGTGAATAAAAGTTATAGTGGATTTCTCACTTAAGAAATCAGAATAAGCTTTTGGTGCATCTTTCATTTTCTTTATATTGATGATTTTTCCAGATAATTCTATAAGTAGACATGGATTTAATATAGCTTTGAATAATCTTTCAATTAATCTCTATTTTTTAGACTTTACTTTTGATTTGATTTTATCTGATATCTTATTAAAGCTCAGTCTCTTATGATTTGGCTTATATTATTTTTGATAATAATATTTAAGTATAAAATATTCATTTTGTTGAATAAATCTATAGAGTTGATCTTTTTCATATTTAACGTTATATATAGGATATTCTTTAACCAATTGTACTTCAAAGTTGATAAATCTCTTCTCAGTTCTTTCAATCTGAAGCCCCCTATATTTTGAAATAACTAGATTAGTTCTCTTAACCAAGACATTTTCATCATCAATAGATTGGTATTCTTCCTTTACTAGCTTTTCATCTGAAAAAGTTCATGATCAGATCACAGAATAATTCTCTTTAGGCTGAATCAGATAATTATCTAGATTTTTAAATCCATTTTTAATAGAAGAAATAGTAGATTTTTTAATATAATCTTCCTTTGATAATTTCAGAAGCCAAAGATTGAAATATTTTTTGGGAAGGCCAATATCTATAAACTCAGAATAAGATTTTTCAACTAATTTTATAACTTTTTCTGTAAAATTCTTAAATTCTCTATAATCTATGAATCAAGCACAAGAATAAATAATATATCAACTGCATTTATTAGCATTTGATGAACTTGCTAATGCAAAAGAATTTAAGAAAGGTATACAATCTGGTATTAGGCTTAATGCATCTACACAAGCAACTAAAATTTAAGATATCAAATCTTTACGAGTAATTTTTTTATCATCTAAGAAAGAAAGTTTGGGATTTGTAAGATCAGATTTTTATCTTGCATCAATATCAATTACTAATTGAAGAGGCTGGTATTCATCAATACATTCATGTGTATTTGGCATTCTATAAACTTTTGTAGGATGATTGATCACTGTATAATCTTTTTCCGCCATCCAGATTATATACTGAAAATGAATCTCTTCAGGTCGATATGCATCTAAAAGTGCAGTATCATTTTTATCAGTATGGCCATTGGATGCAAGCCAGTATTTATAATATGTATATTCTTTATGATCAGGTTTATAGTCAAGATCCATTAAACCCATGAGAAACTTTTTTGCTTCATTATATTCAGCCAATTTTTGATTTAGGTATTGTTGTTGTAATAATTCACATAAACACTTTTTAGCTTTACTAGATAAATTCATTTTATTGATTTGTATATATGTGTTGTTTGATTTGACAAAAAGTATATCTAATAATATATGTAATATTATTTTGTAACTATAATAATTTGTAGATAAATTATTAATTATTCCAGAAATTTTAGCGAATCAGTTCATCCAAATAATATAAATTTGATTAAAGTAATTATTATATAAAGCCCAATGGCATTTTACCATTGTTCATATATTCTTAGAACTGGAAAAATCTGTGGTTGAGGATGTTATAATCCTAAAGGATGCTATATTCATTATAAATCTCCAGTATATACTCCTTGTAGAGATTATGGTAAGCTAAATAGATCTATTCATAATGCATGTGATAAATACGTAGGCAAGTATCAAAGTAGAGAGAATTATCACAAAAAAAAGCAAGCCGAATTACTGGAAAAAATTATTATGCTTGAGAGTCATATATCTGACTTACCCGATTCTAGACACAAACTATAAATATTTTTCAAGACCACACGGTCCTGCAAATTTTGGTCATCTAGCTGAGGTAAGTATACCATCCATATTACATGTCTGGCATATATCAATAATTTTTTTAAGAATCTCTTTGAGTAATACTATATTCTTCTTGATATCTTCTATATTTTTGATTATCTTATTTCGTAGAGATATGGATTCCATAATCTTTGATCAAACTCATACCTTACCCATATCTATTTTTCGATAGAATTATATTAACCGTGACCCATTCAATTTTTGGATATAGATATACTAGATCTGAGATGGACAGAGCCCAATGTCAAAGACACATAATTAATTTCGATTTGAAAAAAGAATCTTCATAATATATACCTGAGATATTTATAGTATATACTTGAGATATTTATAGTATAACAATCATCTTATATTACCATGGCAAAAGTTACTACAGAATTTTTCAATCAATACAAATTATCACCCCAAACTAGCTTATCCCAGCTTAGTAATTATGTTGAAGAGTTGGCTGGTAAACTCTCAGATGGTAAGACAAAAGAGCAGGTGAGAAGAGTCAGAGATCAAGCTAGAAGACGCTTTTGGAAATTGGGTCTTAGTGAAGAACAGACACACACTCTCATTCCTAAACAGATATCTGGGTGACGTGTAGTTGGAAGAGACCTCATGAGATAGCAAATGATTTGATTAATACTGCTCCAAATATTGTTGCTGGTGCCTCATGTCTTACATATCTTCAAAAAGAATTAGAAACTCTGGATGCTGATAGTTCTACACTAGAATCAACAAACATATCTCAGATTACCAAAGAATCGCAGAAAAAACAGGATGAACGTCATGAACTTAATAAATATAAAGGTATGGATTGTCCTGAATTCTTTTACTCAGAGAATGTTCAGGATAGACTTAGTAATTGTGATATTACCAAACCTCCTTCCATGCAGAATTTGATCGATGTAATGGTAATGTTATCTATAAGACCAGCAGATGTTGCAACTCTTCGTATTGATCACTATCCATCAAGTTATGAAAAATGGTATGATCCTGAATATTCTTGGTATTGCACTGGCTACGCCAAAAGTCAAATTGATGAACCTTTACCATTCTTTTCAATGGAAATGGATCCAAAAAGAGCAATAGAACTGCTCACCTGGATCCAGAAGGCAATTCCAAAGACTTTCCCATTTCTGTTAAAAGGTGAAAATAGTTATGTAAAAGTTTATCCACTTAATCGATTCTTGATTCCCCATGATATTACCTCATATCAATTAAGAAAATTTGGTGCTGATCATGCATCAAGAGCTCATGGTGGTAAAAATGATTCTTGTCGTCAAAAATATCGAGATCTAGCAACGCGTCATAAAAAAGGACATAAAGCTACAGCACGACATTATGGTGTAATAAACGACAGGCCAATTATTCCAGCACCTAGGCCAATCACCCCTATGATTAAACAAGAATATGATGAAATTGAGGATTTTATCAGCCTATATGGAGAAATTTCTGATGATGATAACTAATTACTCTTCTTTGCTTCGAGAACTTGTGTACGTATTTCATTCTCATCGATACTAGAATATTCAGAGCCTGATTCAGTTGAGGATGAAGACGAGGAATAATTATGAATGCGCTTTTTCTTTTTTACAGATATGACACATTGTTTTTTAGCAATATCCGGGTTTGTTATTGAGTTTATAATTTCTTGCTGAATCTCGGGTTTCACTATCTCCAATAATCGGTGAAGAGAGATCTGAATTTTTTTGTTCGATACCTGTCTAACAATACTGGATACCGCTATATTAGTATTCCGTTGCTCTGTTAAAGACTCAGACAATGTTTTAATTGGTTCACGAATATTTTTCCAGAATTCTTGAGACGAGATAGCATTGGTCGTCCCAGCTCCGCTGATATTATCTTTAACTATTGCTTCATTTATAACAGACTTGTTATTAACTTCAGTCATCATATATTTTGAATTATCTTTTATTAATATGCAGTAAAAAATACAATATTAAATATATCATTACATTTCTGAAAACGTAACAATGATAGGATCTTGGAGTGATTTTGGTATAAGAGATACAATTAATTGGGTGGATCGAAGTTCACCTCCCAATTCACCAGTTTTAGAACCCGAAAAAGTAGAAGATATTACACCACCTATACAACTCGATCAATCCGTGGATAACTATTTCAAGATGATAAAGGTATATGCTATAGCATTGGATGTCGATTTAGATAATCAAGACCTCAAGGGAACATTCTTCAATGGTCTATCATTAGATAATAAAAAAGAAGTAATTCGATTCGGGTTTAAAAATCCTCTGAATGAAATAGTTGGCCATCTAAATAGAATCTCATCTGTACCCACCGATATGCAAAAGTTTCAGCCTGCTGGCACATGGTGCCAATTCAGATCTTTGGAACAAGGTAATGATTCGATAATGGATTTTTACAGGAAAGTAAAAAAATATAGTAAATTAGCTGGATATAACGAAGAACGGCTTAGATATGAATTTCTTCGAGGAATATCTCCTGAGAATCAGTTGGAAGTTAGCAGATGTGGATTGGACCTTCCATTAGATGAGCTAGTAGAAAGGCTGAGTAAAATTGAGAATATCCGGGTCTTTAGGTAGAACAGAAATTGGAAATTGTCGTTTAGATGGTGTAGATTGAACATTTACCCGCGGTACAAATAAAGTCTTTTCCTCAAAAGGGTCGAAGTTCTGGTTAAATATCTGTATAAATTGAATATGGATTTTTTCCCATTCTTCCATGAGATCATCAAGCCATGCAGTACTCAAACCACTTTTTAGTATACCACGACGTAATAATTCTTCGCCAATCAGCCTATCCCGATCTGTTAAAAATTCACGATATTTTCTAGGATCTTCCTTTCTCTCTATTCCGCCACGATAGAAGCGCATATCTCTTTCTAAGTCTTCTCGGAAGCATCCCATAGCCCACTTATTTTTCTCAGCCTCAGTAATGACCAAAAATTTCTCGGATCCATTTTATGTTCGATGGCATATTGATAAAGGCAGTTTTTGTTTGGATCAGTCTTGGGAATTGAGGAGTTGCAAAATTTGTTTGGTACCATTACCTGAGTTTCCGGCAAACTTTGTACAGCAATTATAGCTTTCTTTTGATCAATACGAAAAGGACAATTGAGATAATAGTGATCATTTTTACCTAGACAGCTCACCCCATATACCTAAACGTGTATGTACTTCTTTGCATATCAGACATTTAGCTTCTGAATCAGTATATTTAAAAACATCTCGGTACCATGCATTCGAATTAGTGTAAGACAAGAAAGGGAAGCGTTTATGTACTGCTTCATGGATTATACCTTTTTCTTCTGGAAACTTAGAAATCTTGATAATACAATCATGACTCATATAATTATTAGTATCCTTTTTGATTTGAGAGGATTCAGAGTTTATCCAAGGAACGAGTCCAGTTTTTTTCTTATATCTTTTATATAATGTGGAGCGAATTTTATCTGTCAAAATGCTTGGTAAATTAGTTAATTTAGCATGCCACTCCAAATATTCAGGAGTTAATGTTTTATCGGTCTTGGTTTGTGTATTCATGTTGACATTTTATAATTGTACATCTTTTTAAATTAACAATAGCTGACAAAAGTAGTTAGAAGACATATTATCATTTATATAAATGTAGGTTTTCGCATAAAAAAAATATCAAATATGTTTCGATTAATATAGATCTAATCTTTATTGCATAGTAATACATAGCTGGCAAGAAAATACAAATAAACAAAGCTCATACAATTATTTCAGCATTAGCGGAGCTGGCACGGCCAATGTACTGGATCATATCAATTTCGGATGCTTCACACTTGATATAGTAGGATCCAGTCTCGTAATTGCCCTCTACACCTTCCCCATCCTCATGATTTAACTTGCATATTGGGCATGATGTCTCAGAATTAATTCCATAATAATCGACACCTTCATTACTATATTCATAAAATAGATCGGGATATTGTTCCAATGTTTTCTTACGAAAATAAACACAGTTATGAGTTGGATTCTTTGGTTGAGATTTGGTAAGTATATTTACCTTGACTTTCGGTTCAAATATAGGCGGTGTACTTACCTGGGGTATCGGGGAGGTCTTCTTAGTCATGTCAGCTCTGCCGATAATATTAGTAGATTTTATATTAGATACAGAATTGACAATGCCATTTTGCCCAAGTGGGACTTTTGGTCTCATTTTTTCACTTTCACTAAAATAATCCAGAATTATTTGAATTTGAGGTTTAGTAAACTTTGAAATAGAATCTGCACTGAATGTCTTGATATTCTTAATCTTATCAACTCCTATCTTTTCAAGTATTTTGTAAAGTTTTATAGATCTTTGGGTTCTTTTACGTAAAGTTTCCAAAGTTATTCCAGAAAGGTGTTTTATTATATCCTGGAATAATCGTTTTCTTGCTATCTGTTCTGAAATGTTTTCTTTTACCATAAGTTCTTGAACTTCCATTTCAAATCTTTTTCCATATGAGTAACGACATGAAATCTCTTTCTGTTTAGCTTGTATAGTATTTTTTCCTTCAATACTTACTTTTAGAAACAAATGAGCTAGCTCAACTTCTATTGTCGTATTAGTAGTAAGTATTAAGTTTCCATCAATAACTTCGATGATATCCTCATCTGTAAATCTTGAAGACACTTCTTGTATAAAATCTTGGGCGACTATATAATTATGCGAAACTTTTGTTTCTTCAGGAAGTGCTTGAACCTGTCCCACTTCGCAGTCGCTCAATTTAGCAGGGTTAGATATATGTTTTTGTACCAACACTGATTGGCTGTTTTGCTCAAGTGGGACTTTAGGTCTCACTTTTTCACTACATGATTCTTCAAACGATATAGAGGATAAGTCTTGTTCTTGAAGCTTCTTTTCCTTTATGCTCTGCCTTATCTCGTTACTAACCATTTTCTTATTTTCTGAATCTAAAAAGTCATTGACCCCACTGATTTAGTTTCTGTGCAGATAGATGATGCAGAGTCTCGCTTCTGACATATACCAGAATTAAATGCACTATCAGATGTATTTCCTATCTGCTCGGGAGTTACAGGTGTAATGTTAGTAGTTACAGAGTCTTTTGTTTCGCAGTGGGACAAAGTCTCTTTGTCAGAGTGGTCTCCAATAGGAAAAGAAGTTACTTGTAATGAGTTAGAAACTTGAGACTTCGTTTCTTCTGAATAATCTAAGGATGAATCGGGAATTTGAAGCTTTACTTCATGTGTATTAGTAATGGTTTGAGTTCGCTTTTTGATTTCTAAGAAATCGTATTCCAATTTAGTTACTTTGACTTTAAGCTGAGTATTCTCTTCCATAGCATGTTCCAATTCTGCAATTCTAGCCTCAAGCTTATTTTTTTCCTTCGCGATCTGTTCCAATTCTGCGATTCTAGCCATAAGTCTGGCATTCTCTTGTTTTAATAAGCCGATTTCAGATTGGGTGGTTTCTATTATTTTATGCAAAACACAGATAAATTCAAAAGCTCGTTTATTTAATGTTAGATAAAAACTGTCACGCGATATTAATAAAAGTCCCGATTAATTTTCATTCGGTGATCAAAAATAATAGCACGATAAAAATTCCGCTTTCTCGACTTTCTCAGAAAATCTCGGTAAGAAAACAAAAATCTGAAAAAGTGAGACCAAAAGTCCCTGGGAAAATTACACCGATCACTTTTGCCAAGAAATTTCACAGACCTCAGGTCGTTCAAATTTGCCAAGAAAAAATCTCGATCGTGTATAGTAAATCCACTTGCGTATGCCTTATTCATAGAACCACTTTGATGACGTCACGAAGATAATAAGATAAATGATCCGCACTAACTCAATAATTTTTCTTTACTACTGTCTGTATTATCATTCGTCGTCACATTTTGTATTGATGTAGATGATGTTTCGTCTCCCAAATTTTTCGCTAGTTAATGTTAAACATTTTTTAAATAACTTGGCATAATTATATTATTTAAACATTCTGTCTGTACGTACCAGATTGTTCATTCCGCAGAAGAAATTGGCGGATTTTAGTTAGCGCTCCCAGCACCTCTCGTCTCCCATCTGGTTCTACTAAATCCAGACCATCCTGCTTACCATTCACCCCTGGCCATCTTTTAACGTTAACTGATGCCTCTTTGGGTAGACCACGCTTAAATTCGGACCAATATTCTGCAGGGATTACTGCTTTGTAAAATGTCACGTACGTTGAGATGACGCGCATGGCAAATATGGTTTGATCAATAAATTCCTCTCTACTAGTGGAACGTATGTTCTCATTTCCGCAGGCAACAATCTGTACGGCAATTTGCGTTTCCCCGAAACCGCTTGGGTTCCAAACATTTTTGATATGTTTGTCCTGTTAAAATGTTTTTTTGATCAATATGGCTTATTAAACAATAAGAACATTAACCATAAACATTCTGACCTCTATAGCCACCATACTTAGGTTTCGATTAGCAATCACAAATTCGGGGTCTGCTAAAACAAGTTTCTTTTCTTTAATGAACAATCTACATAGCGGATAATTTCTGAGTTTTGATAGATACAAACTTTTAGCAAAATTAAGCACCTCACAAAAAATGCATTCCTACAATTACTTACATTAACTTCAAGGGCCAGTCATTCAATTCGGCGACACGAAGCAGATCGTCCACCAATGTGTCAGTTTTAGACTCCAATGTGCCTGTGGCCACTTTTTCATTCATCACAACATCATGCATTTTAACAATGAATGTTTTGACCCGATTATTCGAAACCTTATCAAGCTTTTCAACATCAAAATCTGCGTTTGAGAGAGCACGGCGGTTGATTTCGGGAAGAAGATATTCATTCGGAACTGTGACTGTATGATATGTAAATTAATTGTCAGTTTTAATTAAGGCAAAGACAAAAAACATACCAGGATCCTTGGTGGTAGGAATAACATCTTCGAAAGAAGCTGGCTGGAACTTCACTCTCAATAAGTCAACTTCATCTTGTGTGAAGCCTGATGCTGATTTGGCCGTAATCCTAGTCTTTGTGGAAAGTAGTTTAGGAAAGGAAAGAACTGCTAATCGAGGAAATCTCCTAACTTGACAGAATAGTGGAAGCAACATAAGAAAAGGATAAGAGGTATATAGGATTAAGATTGATAAATTTTCGTGAGCGTGTGAATCTATTTCGGGCATGTGGGTCTATATATCGGGTATGGGATGTATTACAAACATAGTATAAGGGTAGAGACATTTATCAGGTGATTCTTATAGGGGGACCAAAATCACGTTACATTAAATATCAACCAATCAAAATATTTACATCAATCAAGCATATGATTTAGCGAAGGTGCTAATAAAGGATGTACGACTTGACATTTCCGGTCAGAGATATGCGTAACGCGTGAAAAAATTCATTTCAGCAATAAAGTCTTATAAAATTGAAAAAATTCATTTCTTTATTAATGAAAAAATAAATTACAAAGGTGGGTACAGACCCATCATTTTTTAGCGTGGTATCCTTCAACCCTAGCTCTCTTGGTATCTGGGGACTTTTCCACACAAGCTCGATCCTTTAACAAACCCACGATTATACCCAATATCTTTTTCACACCCTTACACAATACTTGATATTTCTCAGAGTTTTTTTCCAAAGCCTTCTTGTTGAATTCGATGCTATAGAGAATTTCACTTGCTTGAGAAATCTCTCCGGGACTGTAAAGCAAGAAATGCCAATCCCTGGCAGATGTCATGATTCTGTAGAGATAGTCAAAATCATCATCTTCCTGCTTTCATTTTTTCTTGTTCATTTCATATGAGCTTTCGAGTTGTTTTATATTTTGGACAAAACCTTCGAATATACTACACTGAACCTTATCTTTGGTAACGTAGATTAGGTTTTCAGACTTCTAAAAAATAAATATTCATTAATATAAAGTTCCAGAAAAATATGATGGATTTCCATAATTTGTTTATGAAAAATAAAACAATTCTCAAACCTTGATTTCATAATCAACTCGTCCGGAACTTTCATCACTAACAATTTCATATTCTGATCTCATGCTAAATTCTTTTCTAGTTAAGTCTCCTACAATATGGAGAGCTGTGTGAAGTAATATCGATACATATTTATTTCGCATGAATTCCAAACTATCCAAGACTAAAAACCCGTAATTCTTCATCCTAAACAAAATATCTGCCATGCAATATGCAAAATACTGATTATTGTCTTGGATCTCATATTGCAGAAGTTCAAATAATAAAATGGCTTTCACACCATCACTATTGAGGCCATATTTTAATAATACTTCTCTTAGACTGTGGTATGACAAAAAAGCCCTCAATTTTTTCTCCTTGACTTCCTTGGTGAAATCCACAAGTGCCATAGTAGGACCATCTTTTATTCCATAACTACGAAATTCATCTTTAGTTATCTTGAGAAATATACATCTGGTGATCTTCTCATTGTGTAAGATTTCGAAATGAGTTTTGTTAAGTTGCAAGTCTTCTTCCCTATGCAAAAATTCAATGAGCTTTTCTGTATTTAACTTTCTAACTACTTTGGCTAAAGTGGGAGCCTACTTTTCTTCCATTATATTATTAGAAGATGAAGCTGGAGTTGAAGTGGTCGACATTTTTGAGCTATATATGATTTTTTGATGAAATATTATTGGTAGATTGCGGAATAGTACACAAGAAAAAGTGAGGATCCACTAAAGTTGGGTAGTATTATGTGATTTTGGATTCAATCCGAATCCAAATCATGTGAAAATACACATAATAAGGGGAACGCTAAAGCAGGATAGTGGATTATATGTTAATTCGAATTATGTAAATCCAGATCATGTTAATCTGAATTTACCTATAAAGTTGTATAACCGTACACAATATATTTTGTCATTATTGCAAGAGAATTTTTTTTATTTTTTGTTTTTTATTTTTTTGAATGGTTAGCAGAGAAATAAAAATAATAAGGATAAGGGTGGATAGGGGATGGAATGTCAGTTAAGAAATAATTATGTTGATAACACAAGCTTAAAAATACATTTGCATAAGAAACGCAAAAAAAAAACCAAATACATTTGTATAAGAAATGCAAATCTTATATTTCGAGCTGTATTTAAGCCACAAGAAATGAGTCTACCAGCATGATCCCCAAAAGTTCGGACTACGTGACTTCATCGATCAGTTCTGGCTTCTCTGATCCTAGATGATACAAAATTTCAGACTAATGTAATAATGATGAAATGATTTTCTGTTTTCACTTTATTATCATTATAATACTTTTAATTATTTATTAAACAATAATCTGCATATTACTTAAAAATACATTAGTATTAATCTTACAATGTAAATCAAAATATATATAATGAGTCTTTGAACAAATAAAGAATATTCTTAATTATGTATAATTATTCTCAAAATTATTAGACTTGTGAAATCTCTACTGTGATAATTGCTCTAACATTTTAATAAAACCTTCTAATCTAGGGATCAGAAAGTGATATTATAAATCGGACAATTGACGAAAAGAATAATATGTTTTATTTAACTATTAACTAGAAAAAAGTCTCATCTGAAGTTAAAAAATCAAGACTAATTAAGAAATCCACATATAATTTATCTAAAACCTGAATTTTTCCATCCATATAATTCATATCTGTAGATTAAATTAAATCTTATACTCCTCTTATTTAGAATCTACCAATATATAACATGACAGATCCTTTTTTTATTTGATCGTAATTTGATCACGTGATATAAGATACGTTGTAACAAATACGAGGTGATGTAAAGATCGCAATTGTGAAAGTTCAATTATGTATTTTAATGTTGATACTAAATCCCAACTGCACATAAATTCATTAAAAAAGTTCAACTAATGGCATTATTTTGCACTAAATGCAAATATAATCACTCTGAAGATCAATTCATTTGGAATGGTGTTCATCACAAGATATATAGAAAGTACAAAGAGAACTGTAGCCAAAAGAATAATCATAATAATAATCAAAATGAGCTCGTGTTGTCAACTAAAACTAATCATGAATTAAGCTAACATGAGAATACAGAATTTTCTTCTGATCTTTTGGATAAATCTCATAATACGGATAAATTATTGCAAGACACGAAGAAAGTATTTCATGAATTTGAGGAAGAATATAGTGTGAAAAATAATATCAATAATATAGATGTAATAGAAAACTTGGCAGTAGAATATATAAGTGATGTCACACATACTGAGATTGATTATTTTAATTTGGGAAACTTTATTGAACATGAAATCCAAGAACTCACAGTTGATGTTCAAATTGATGGCGTAGCAGATATAGTTTATCAGACTCACTTACTGATATATTTTGATATTGCTATAGCTCAAGATAAGACAGTGAAGAATATTACTGATCTTGTTATTACTGAAATTGAGAGCGGAGATGATTATTCATGGAAGTAAGTATCTCTCAATATTGTAACCAATTAGCTTATTCATGTGGTGCAGTAGATATGACGCAGCATATGGCGCAGCCACAGTACGTGGCACAGTAATTACTGATCACTACTAAATCAGATGAATAAGTAATTTATATTAATTAATTTAATTTATTATTAATTCTATTTTTAATTCATAT